TTCCCATCTTAAGTTGTTTGTGAAACTAATAAACAAGGATATAAACAACAAACAAGCCTTCATTCCAAATTCTTTCCATGACACTCAGCTTTCAATAGTAAAGTACCCACCGATGAGTATTATCAATAGATTTGTTATTTACTATAAAATCTATTTATTATAAGTCTATTCATTATTAAAGGTTATATTCTCACTGATTATCATTATGAAAACAGTAATAGAAATGCAGTTTAATTTTCTTTCCCTGATCTGCAAAAATAAAATGGGTGGAGGGAGATGGAGGTGATTTTCAACTGAGTGAAACTCCTAATTTTGGTTCCTCTTCATATCCTGTTTTGACAAAATTGCCTGTTTTCTTCTGTTTCCTAAATATTTCTGATTTGGATGCTCTGGGCTTTCCCCTTTTTCTATTTGTAAGTTAATTTTTTTATCGCATTTCTGCAGACGTTTGAATTTTTCCTAAAACTGTTATGTATTGTTATACGCCTCCAAATATATAATTTTTTAGCAAATGTGTCTAGCGGTCCCAGTTTCTGCAATTTCCCCTTAATGTACTTTTGTGCACTATTTTCATCAACAAAAGTATTTTTCTTCAATTGTTCCCCCCCCCCATTGCACTTCTATTTCCTTTCCCCCCCATTGGCCACTTATAGACTTGTGATTAAAATGAGAATTTCAGAAGATAACTCTTTCACTGCCTGGTTTCGAGTCCTTTGCATTCTGCCATACTTGAATAAGAATTGAAGAATTGGGAAGGAGAATAGAAATAGCAATAGCATTTAGACATATATACTGCTTCACATTGCTTCACAGCCACCTCTAAACAGTTTGCAGAGTCAGCCTCTTGCCCCCAACAATCTGTGTCCTCATTTTACGCATCTCAGAAGGATGAAAGGCTGAGTCAACCTCGAACTCCTGGCATGGGCAGAATTAGCCTGCAATACTGCTTTCTAACCACTGTGCCACCACGGTCCTTCCTCCTTCCCTCCCCCACTCCCTTCTTTCCTCCCTCCCTCTCTCTCCCTCCCTCCCCTTCCCTTCTCTATCCATCCATCAATCTATCCATCCCAGCTGAAGGTTGACTCAGCCTTCCATCCTTCCAAGGTGGGTAAAATGCTATTTTCTTTCTTTCCTTCCTTCCTCCCTCCCTCCCTCCCTCCCTCCCAGCTGGCTTTCATCCCTAGGATGAAGGAGAAGAACTCCCAGGCTCCTGGCGATTGGCCCAAAGTCACACAGCTGGCTTTCATGCTTGAGGTAGAACTAGAAATCACAGTCTCCCAGTTTCTAGAATGCCACCTTAACCACTAGACCAGACTGCCTCTGTCAGTTTGGATTCTTAGGCGTGCTATAGAATTGAAGTGCTTAATGGAAAGAATTGGAGAAACACAGTTCTTCATCTACCGATTGTTCCTTCCGACCCTTGGAAGTTACAACTATTACAGGCCTTACCTGGCCTCCTCGAGAGCAGAGGACACCCAAAGCTCTGCGTGGTTCTTGCGGGGGGGGGGGGGGGAATGAGAAATCCCCTTCTTTCCATTACTGGCCATCGTATTGGAAACTCCTCAGCTTTGAACGGAGAACGGTTTCTCGAAGCTATTATTTCAGCCTTGGGTGATCAGCTTCCCATCTCGAGGCAGGTGAGGCGACCACCTGAATCCTGAAAGCGTTTCTCTCTCCAATCACCCAAATTGTAATTGAAAGTCCTGGAAGAGATCAGGAGGAAGAGAAGAGCAGAGAGGGGCAAGGAGGGTTTTTTTTTTCCTTTGCTCAAACCCCGAATGCACAGCGTTCGATAATACGTGCTCTCAGGGCTGTGTTCTACCTTGCTTTCATATTTGTATTTACCTGTCAGGCTGTTTTATATCTCTCTCTCTCCAGTCAACTGAGAAAGGTTCCCTCTTGCAAGCAGGAAGGCAAAACATCTATTATGAATTTGCCGCCTTCTGAATTCCTCAAACGCGCTCGGATATTCTGATAACTGCAGATGAATTTTGCTGTTGGGGGGGAAACGCTCCGTTCCCGTCTAGCTTTCTTATTAAGGAAAGAGGCGAAAGCAAAATGAAAATATTTGTGTGCTGCTTATCCTCAGAAGGGGGGAAAAATAATTTTGGGGGCAAATGTTTTTTCCAAGGAGAAGGGAATTGTAGCAAGATCCTCACTGGTAGAAGTTTCGGGGCGCATAGTTAGGAATGAGATGCCAGGAAACCCACTTTTCAGCGTACGTTTGTTTTATTAGATTTTTATCCCACATTTATTAGTAGAATAGTAGGATTCTTTATTGTCCAAGTGTGATTGGACACACAAGAAATTTTTCTTTGGTGCAGATGCTCTCAGTGTACATAAATAGAAAATAACAATAAAATATATTCACCAAGAATCGTAAGATTACTTTTTTTAATATACTATCACTTTTTATAAGTCAACTCAAGGCGGAAAATATAAGTAATGCTCCTTCCCCTCTTTCTTTTTCCCCACACAACAACAACAACAACAACGACATGTGAGATGAGTTGTGCTGAGAGAGCGTAATTGGCCCAGAGTCTTCCAATCAGCCTTCCGTGCATAAGGCGAAACTAGAATTCACTTCTCCTGGTGATTGGCCCAAAGTCACCCAGCTTTCATGCCTAAAGTGGGGCTAGAACTCACCATCTCCTGGCCAGCACCTTAACCAGCTACATCGAGTGGCTCCCTTTAGTTGGCGTCTGGTCTCTCACGGTTTCCCCGTTTTTCAAACCATGGGAATGACTTCACCCGACGGCCTTGTGAGCGAATGAAGAGAATCCTTGAAGGGCTTCCAAAAACAGGCCAAACTACAACTTACCCCTCCAAAGTTCTCAGCTCCATTTTAGCCTGGCCCAGAGACTGAACAATCCCCATCCAAGTGTTGACAATGATGGAAATATGGAGGAGTTCCTTGCTTCTCCATCGGACCTGGGAGTTCTGACCCAACTCCCCAAGCATGACAAGCTCTCTGTAGTTGAAGCAACGGTTCCTTCATTAGGAGCGCCAGCAGCCCCGGCAAAAGGTTTCTCTCTCACCGCAGGCTCACAAGTCTGTCTGGCAGGGAGACGAATAGTTCTCTGCCACATCTGTCCATCTCCTCCCCCCTGCCTTTGATCCCCAGAGCTAGGGTGGGGCTTCGCTAGTGACAGTGGCTCTTCCGTCCCAAGGACCGGCCCATAGATTTCCCCTGCTCTCCTCTCCTCTCTGCCTTCGTGCATCTGCGTGTCAGGCACTGGACCCGGCTCTTCCTCCTCTTCCTCATCAGCCACCTCCAGCCCTGGGGGCTCTTGACTCTCCCTCTGAGGGCTGACAGAAGTCTGTCACTCTCTCTCTCTGCCAGCTCCACTCCCTCTTCCCCCTCGGAGGTCTCAGGTTGCCTTGATGCTGACCCTGACTCCCACACTGCCTCCTCCTCCTCCTCCTCCTCCTTTGATTTGGCTTCTGGGGGGGGGGGGGCGGTGACCAGAACACTGGGTCTCGGGGAGGATTCCATAAGACCTGGACTGGGGAGGTCGGGCCTCTCGTTTACCCTCTGCAAACTGTTGAAAATAATCTGCCAATGAGAAGCATTTCTTTTTGTTCTCTGTTCATTGTCTGCCTGATCAAGGCTGATTTTAAATCAGACCGGCGAATCCTGTGCAATTGATCCCTAGACTTTCCATCATCGGAGTCTATTTAAGGGAATTAGACTTTAAGGCTTGTGTACGAATCCACCCGGCCGCTTTGGGGAATTCTCAGTGGAGGTAAGGTGATGATTGGCAGGCCTCCCTCTTCCCTCTGATGGCATTCCACGTGCATTAGTGAAAAACATTGATTATTTTTTCCCACCTGCCAGCCACTTTCTATTCCCGGCTAATCCAAAAGTAATGTAATTGCATGGGGGGCCCCATTGCTTCATCTGGGTCAGTTGCTCCATTTTAGGCTTGGAAGAGGCGTGTGAGGCTGCCACCCGCTTCCAGATAGAATCCCCCTTGTAGCTTGAATCAAAAGGTCTGTGTGTATAAGCCACGAGAGGCTCTCTTTCTCTCTCTTCCTTTCTCTTTCTCTTTCTCTGTCTTTCTTTCTCTCCCTTCATTTTTTCTCTTTCTCTCGTTCTCTTTCTCTCTTCCTTTTTCTTTCTCTATCTTTCTCTTTACTTTCCCTCTCACTTTCTCTTCCTTTTTTTTCTTTCTGTTTCTCTCTTTTTCTCCCTCTCCCTCTCTTTTTCTTTCTGTTTCTCTCTCTCCTTCTTTTCCCCACTCATCTATTTAGATTTTTCATCATCCTCGTCATGGTTGTCCCAAAGGTGCTTTTCCCAAAAGGCAAGAGGGCTTCCTTGGTTCTTTTCCTTGAAACTCTTTCGCTTCACATCCAAGAACCTTCTTCACAATTCTGAACTGAAGATGCTTCTTGGATTAGAAGTGAAATATTTTCGAGGGAAAAAACAGGAAGTCCAGTTGCCTTTTGGAAAAAGCACCTTTGGCACTCTCTTTCTCGCTCATATCTTCTATTACTTCATTGTTAGCTGCATGGAGGATTCATTTGCATAAATTAGCATTATAGGATTCTGATTGTTGCTTTTGGTGCCATCATCGATATAATTCCTAAGGAGTGGCAGGGTGGCCTAGTGGTGAAGACACTCACTTCCTATTTGGAAGGTTGAGGGTTCAATCCTATGTAGGGGCAGATGTTTCTCTCTCAGGGTCCAAAGAAAAAATGTTTGCTGTGAACCCTGCGTGATGTCAGGAAGGGCATCCGGCCACTAAAGGCTCAGCTCCATCCGGTCACCCTGATTCTCCCCCAAATTAAAGGGCTACAGTTCATAAAAAGAGAGTTTTCATCAATATAGTCCCAAAGCTAGCAGAATCCCACCGACTGTTATTTTTTTAAAATGGGTGTGACTATCCAGGTACGCAGATCCAAACCTTTGCAGAACACTCCTTGTCTCCAGAACCAGATTATTCTTTTAATTGTCCCCATTCTTTCTCTCTCTCTCTCTCTCTCTTTCCGCCTTCTAGCTTTAGTCACCAACAGACCACCTCAGCCCTTGTATCCAGTGGAGAATCAGACAAGTCTTCTCGAAGTCCAGTTGGGTAAGTTCCTTTCTGAGAAGGGGTGATTGAAATGAGGCCGAGAGCAGAGGGGGGGCTCAGATCACCATAGGCTCCAATCAGTAGGTTTTTTTCTCATTTGCAATGAGGGGGAGGGGCTCTTCCGACAACGGTTTCAAGGGGGAGATTTGCATAGGATTGGAGAATGGCAGAGCTGGGATTCAGACAGTTCGGGTGGGTTCACCTGAACCGGTAGCGGAAATTGTGGGTGGGCCTCCTCCCCTGCCCCGATTCTATGCTGTCCTATTTAGGCACATTTTTGAGGCCGGCCGCATGCGCGGAAGTCCAGGCACATGCACAGACGGCACACACATGGCCGCTTCTCATGCACGTGTGCGCAAAGTCGGCGGGCGCACACGCGGTGAACCAGTAGTAATGAAATGTGCAGCCCACCGCTGGAGAATGGGTCTCATTGTCTGAGGTTCGTCCAAGGATATGACGGATGGATTGAAAGATCAATGCATTAACTCTTGAAATGTTGCACGAAGCAACTGCTTTTTCACTGTCCGTGCGAGAAATGTGGATGAATTCAATGTACGGGAGATATGGGGATTGTATTTATAGTGTTATGCACGATATGCAAGAATCAGAAGTCTTTCTTCCCATCTCTATACCGGTGGTCCTTGACATGCGACCACAACTGAGCCCAAAATTACTGTTGCTAACCTCGACAGTGGTTAAATTGAGTTTTGCCTCATTTTACGACCTTTCTTGCCACTGCTGTTCAGTGAATACCTACAGTTGTTCAGTTAGTCACATTGTCATTAAGTGGATCACTTTGCTTGTCAGCAGGGCACAAAAGGAGATCACGTGACCCCGAGATACTGCAACCGTCATAAATACGAATCAGTTGCCATTCATCTGAATTTTGATCATGTGACCATGGGGATGTTGCAAGGGTTCTAAGTGTGAAAAACAGTCCTAAGTCCCTTTTTTCAGTGCCCTTGTAACTTTGAACAATCACTAAGCGAACTGCTATAAGTCAAGGACTATCTATAATAGAATCTCTGAGTTATTCCACAGCACACGACCATTTTGATCCCTGAAATAAGCGCTTGGCCTTATTTTTTGGGGGGGGTTCTTATTGTTTTTGAGGTGCAGGAAGTGGCCAGAGTGGTCACCTCATGGCTGCTGCTGTGTTGCAACATTTTGGGGGAGGGCTTATTTCAGCGCATGCGCTCAAAAGCCCCATTGGGCTTATTATCTGGGGAGGTCTTATTTTCAAGGAAACGGGGTATTTGGATGGAGCTTCTATTTCTTTAGGTAACTCTTAAGGAACTCGTACGGTTCATCAGAGGGCACACACCAGTGCCAAAGAGAACAACGTTTTTGTGTGTTTATTGTCAGTTTTATTTACAAGCCGTTTTTGTAAATTCGAAGTGTTAAGACCGCATGATTATTATTGTTTGCATGAATCTAGCTAGCTGTTTGCATTCGGACATTTCCCTAATGTACATTCGCAAAAATTGGCCCAGAATGAATTTTTTTTTTTTTTTAAAGAGGGGAATTCCAAGTGAATTTTTTTTCATTTCATGTAGCACGGATACCTGAAACTGGATAAA